GACTGTGTGCCAGGAGGTTCAGCTTGTCCTGCTTTGTTTTGCTTGAGGCACTTTTTACCTTCTGCCAGTAAATCCTATTTCCTGCAGTACTGCAAGCGCTTGCTGGGTGAGATGAGCCGCGGAAGCACTTCCAAAGGCAGGCGACGCACCATCAGGGAACTTCTCTTGTGCTTCAGCAAGAAGATCAGCGAAAGATTCAGCCCTGTAGATGCCGGAGCTCAGTAGTGTCCCGGTACCGCCCGATGAAGGTCACCCGCAGTGAACTGATGAATCGCCAACTGTCTTTGGCGCTCGCTGATCTTCTTGCTGAAGCACAAGAGAAGTTCCCTGATGGTGCGTCGCCTGCCTTTGGAAGTGCTTCCGCGGATCATCTCACCCAGCAAGCGCTTGCAGTATTGCAGGTGGATTTGACTGACATCCTCGACACCACTAGCCTGATCCAGGCGATCAAGCGCTACAGCTCCTTTGCGGGGACCGATGACCAAGGGTGGAGGACAGATATAGGATTTACTGGCAGGATTCGGCAACACCTGTCACCCCTTTCTAGTCATCCTGCAGCTTTGAAGCTCTACTGCAAAGGAGGATATAGGATTTACTGGCAGAAGATAAAAAGTGCCTCAAGCAAAACAAAGCAGGAACAAGCTGAACCGGCAGGTACACAGTCCACAGCGAGACTGCAAACATATCCTCCAAGGGGTCCTTCTTGGCCGGATGCCGGATCTTCTTATTCCTGCCCTGTCAGCCATTCGTCGAGGAGGCAGATTTATTCCCCTCTCCAAGGGAGCTGATAAACCTGGTCTCCGGCCAATTGTCATCGGTTCTGCACACCGTCGACTCGCGACGAAGCTTGCTTTGGCAGCGATTCGCTCATTTCTTGACCAGCACTTCCTCTCGTCTCACCCTCGAGCGATTCAGTTCGGACTCGATCGAGACGGCTGTCTGAAGTTCTCGCAAACCGCGTCAGCGCTCCTGCCCCTTCACGCTCGCGGTGATGATGAGGATGTTGCCAACCCCACAGTGCTGGTGAGTTTGGATGCAAAGAACGCCTTCAACTCCCTCGACCGCCAGGCTCTCTTCGATGCAATCGAGGGACGTGCGGAGTCGCGACTAC